GAGAGAGAGAGAGAGAGAGAGAGAGAGAGAGAGAGAGAGAGAGAGTAAATGTGGATGTGGAGGTGATGGAGGAGAGGAGAAGAGCAATGAAGAGAGAGAACGAGCGGCAGACTGAGGAAGAGAGATCCGCAGGGGTGCCAAATCGAGTATCGGAGTAGGAGCTCGAATTGGATCCCAACGGAGGAGAGACGAAGGGGTGGAGAAAGGCGGGAAGAAGGAGGCGACAGAGACAGGACAAGGAGAGAAGAAGATGGGGAAAAACCGCCGATTGGTGAGGGGAAGATGGGGAAGCGGGGTGAAGGGCACGGATTGGAAGAGGGAGTTGAGCAGGAGCCGTCTGTGCCGAAGGGTGTCCAACATTTCCCCTCATTGTACAAATCCCTATCAGCCAGATATTCGGTGTCCCTTTTGTGCTCAAGGACGCTATATCAGGACTGCATGATGACGCACTGTGATGAACGTCGTGCTGTTTTTTTGACATGTGGACAGCATGTCCTTTGTCAGGACTGTCCTTTGTCAGGACTGTTTTGATGGGATGGTCCGTGCTAGCCACTACGCGGCCATGCTGTGCCTCTAGTGCCAGCGGCGTGTCTGGAGTGTATTCTTGGCTGTGACAGACATGTCTTTGTTTCGTTGGGTGTGTTTGCTGGCTTGTGATGGGGTGGGGTGTGAACTGACCGACGGTCTGTAGAGTTTTCCATCTGGTGTGGGTGAGTGATAGCCTGCTTTGATTTTCGTCACAGGGACCTTGAGGGCAGTGGTTGGTGGTCCCCACCACCTCAGAGGGGTATCAGTTGTCGGGCAGTCGTTGATGCTTAACATCAGCCGGGGTCAAGGTGGATTATCACTTTAACAGTGTAATCAGTCAGTTAGGGGATTCTGCAGACTGTTGAGGGTTCAGCCTCTACTGATTGATTGATGAGTCGGTGGGTGAAACTCCGACGAACCAGTTTGTTACAGCCCCTCGTTTGTTGTCCTCTGCTCCCTCCCTCTCTGCCTAAGGTTTACCGGGCAGCTCTGTTTGACGAGAGAGAGAGAGAGAGAGAGAGAGAGAGAGA